AGAGCTGAACAATCTGCTTTAAAAGAGTTTCACGAGGACGAGGAAGGAATACTCTATGGACCAGGCATCGCCGATTGAGAGTAAGTTGATATTTTAATAGTTTTTAACGGACTTGAAACTTTATACGCGTTTTTCTCAAAACTGTGTTTTTCAAACTTTCCTCCATTGTATCTCAAAACGGCTGGACCGAATTAAAAATTTACAGGGCACACTCAATATATGTAAACGCATGGAATGAACTATTATCAATCGAAAATTTTCAAAACTTCGATTTTTTTATAAAAAAACAAAAAAAAAAAAACGCCTAATTTGCAACTTTTATTTCAAATGTCTATCAAAAATACAATTTTTTTTATATTCATTTGATTATAGGTCATTCCGTGCTTTTAAGCCTACAAATTAAAACGCCGTTTTTTTTTTTTTTTTTAGATAAGCCAATCAGCCGGAATCGTGGAGGAATGTTTGACTCTTTTTTTCGAGACATTGTTCAGAAGCGCTGTAACTCTAGTTTGACTTAATATTTTTAGCTGAAATTTTATATTTATACTGTCCAAATATGTGTTAATAAATGATAAAAAACTTTTCAAGCTCTAAATATTTACTGGTTATTGTCCTAAAATATCCCTAAAAAACAGGTAGTCATCATTGAAGACCCCCTTAAATCGGTCTTATTATGATTTACTGATTGTTATTCCTTAGAATATGAATTAGTTTTGAGGATGCATAACTAAAGATATAATTAACAAAAGTAATTTTTTCATAATGACATTATATAACAGTACTGGTACTTTCAAAATATCTTAGAGTAAAATTACACAAACATAAAACAAGGGCACAGATAAACCCATATGTGACTACTTAAAGTTGCAATTTCCTTTGTACTGATAGCAGTAATTGCTGTTGGTGATGACAGTTCAGAATATAATTTAGAAATGCATATAGACGCGTCTCTCTTCGTTTAAACTTAGTTATAGTTAAGAAACCAGATACTAAACAATTCGTAAGTTACATTACTAATATGCATTCTCTTTTTCGAAATCTGTTATTTGTATTGTTGTTCACTTTGACGTTTGCCGTTGAGATTGAAAACAATGAAAAATATACCGAAGATATTCGCTATTACATATGGCAACCAGTTTTGGATCCTTATGGAGACCGTTCAAAGCCAGTGAAGAAGGATCCTAAAGATGAAGGCAATAAATATTATTATCCACCGAGTACAGGCAGACCCTATGATCCTAATAACCCAGCGACGTTTTTCAATTGTCTATTTACATACCCGTATTATATTTACGGAGACATGCCAACAAATCGTCCAGTATTGTCATCTACTGACTATTATAACTATTTTCTAATGAAGAAAGAAAAACAGGAAAGCCCATACACTGGCTACAAATATTAAGTAAGGTTAATATCGAATATGAAACAAACGTATTATTTTATATAACTTTTTATGGTGACGGTATATATAACACATACAAATAAATTTATACTTCTTGTAAAAGAAATCTTTTTTTGATGTTATAAATTTAATATTAATCTCGTTATTGTGTGTATATTCGAATTGGAGTTTTACAAAAACAAACAGAAGTTTTCATAACCGGCTAAAATGTCCTACAGCAATAAATGATTATTGATTTGATCTGAATTAAATCAAAAAGTTGACTCGTTACCTCGATGACTAGTAGATACTATTGAATTTGATGGCTGTGAGTGTACATAACAGAGTAGCGTATAGGATAATTAAAATCTATGTAGAATGCATAGGCATTACCCTCACATGTCTATAGCTCTTATGGAAAAAGTCTCGCAATTCATTTTTAAGTAAATGGCATTTTTAGTGAAAGTTTTCGAAATTAATTGTACAATTATGTAGATTTTTTTTTCTAAGAGAAAAGATGCATGATGTTAACACATGTGCTAGTGGTACCTATACGCTGGCGGAGCACATGTGAAGAACGATAGGATAAACATGAAATCTGTTAGTACATTGTGGCGAATTCATTATACAACCGTCTTTGAATCATCGCTAGAGTACATTGCTTGTACTCAAAAATTCTCGTATATTGCTAGCAATGGGTCCACTAGTGAGTCCCGCACATTTCAGTAACAAATAGAGACTGGATATTTCTTTTTTGTATTAAATTATAAAACAAATACAGGCCAGTATGTTAGTCATTCGAAATATAACAAAAATATTTGCGCAACACGTTTTGAGATAAACGTTATAAATACTCCGTATTTTCCTATATATTTGTGTACATTGTATCCTTCAACATTTCGCACTTTGCTACTACTACATAGTCATAAATGTTTGTCAAACATGGCAGTGGCAAGTGTTTTGTGGATTCCCGCAATACAGATTCGTCTAGTGCAGGTCCAATATATACCAGCTGTGTTATTGATGTGTAAATCTTAAAATAAATAAATAAAATGTAATGAAACTTATAAAAGTAATAGTGTATTTTAAACGTGTTACATTTATTATACCATAATCAATGTAGGAAAAATCACTAAGGTTGATATTTGACAATGTTCGTCCAAATATTAATATAATCCAATTAAAAAAAAACAATATTGTCCAATTAGCAAGTCTTTTTTTAAATAACTAACAATCCATAAAACAATTTTCATATTTTCGAATTACTTTAATGCTGTTGGCCGCAGCTGGCCTTTACACCTTCACCAGACGATTGCGGGCACATTCAGATGGCACTCCAAATCTGCAAAATGACTTACGGAGCGCCTAAAGGCCAATTCTCGCCTGATGGATACAGTTTAGGCTCAGATCGTCATAATTCTCAACCCTCTCTTAGTTTTAATTAGACGGATGATCGATCGAAGGAGTGAGTAATGGACTTGATAATCTCAATTATCATTCCAGACGACTAAGGTGTTATTCCTTCTAGCCTATAATTTTAATTACTATTAGATATATATTTGTCACCCCTCAAACCATAACACCGCTTACAAAGCAAGCTATTTAACGGCAAAACGTGAGACACAGGTACGAGTATACTAAATCAGACTCTGCCTCGGTCGTTGTCCTTATTAACGTCAAATTATAAACAAGCATGTGTAGATAAAACTCACAGCGGGAACTCACAAACAGTGTATATTAATTTTCCCATCTGCCAGGTGCCTATATTTTATAACATTCTAAAACTTGTTCCATTAGTTTCAACTAATATTTCACTTCTATCTAATAACATAACTAGTTAAGCCTGCGACTTTGTTTGTGTGATGATGTTGACTGATCGGGACAAGAAAAGCAGCTAAATTTAAAGTAACTAATGGGTAGCCTCCCCTTATTGATGATAATAATCAATCGGTATTAGCTCTGGAAGTATGGTATATTTTCTTACCGACTATAGCCTAGATGTTAAAAAAGTTTCTCTCAGGTTAGTACGTCAGAAAACGTATCTCAGTAATACAACCTACTAGTATATTAATATGTTACATACCCACAATTACATTTACATTTGTAAAATGTATGTATGTTATATATATTAATGTATTTATTGAGTAATATTTGCAAATAAAAAGAAAGTCATATTTACGGTTAATTTTATAAAAGAATGAATGACAAGAATAATAAAGGTACCGAGAAATGAACGAACAAAAAACTCTCTTCACATTTTATAATATACTTAATTACGAATGCTGTTTTTAGCTATAAGTTAGACTTAAGCCAGCGGGAAACGCCAAATCCGTAGTAAAACTGAAGAAGGCCAGATCGATTCTTAGGTTCTATAAATATATCAAAAGCGTACTAATTAAATAATAATTCCCATAGATGTCACAGCTTGACGTTAAATTTTACGAGAATTATTTGCTTGAAGTGTGTAACGGACAAAGCATCTCAAACGCTAAACTTCAATAAATATGAACGAAGCCTTCATCTTCTTTAACAACTAGGGAACAGGTAAATATTTACTAATTAGTAAATATTGTAAATTACTAAAAGCGCTGCTATGGCCGAGTGTGGAGACCCCAAAGATAATAATTTTATTATTTTCTATATATGTTAGTACTAACAGTAGGTATATATAACATGGGCCAATATTGTTATATAAAGTATTTTAAAAAATATATTGATTTACTAACAGAAAAATAAATAAAAATGGTAATGATTATTCTAAAATATGTATAAATTCTAAAATGTATATAAAAATCATCGTTGAAAATTTGACAAAATATAATGAGAAGACATTTGTGGCATGAAGTTCCAATAAAAAAAATATTAAAGTCGATTCATCTAGAAACAATATATTTCAACTTATTATGAGGTACCTACTGCTTTTTAAAGTCGGTTTAAAAGTTAACATAATTGAATACTAAAACTACGTAATGCGTGATAACCTTCAAGTTCATCCTGAGACAGATAATAACGGTAAACGGGCTTGCGGTAGACTCATATCCTTTTTAAAGCATATAACTTTACATATCTATGATTTTTCGCACAATTGTAGACTTAAGTCTTTATATTTTTGAGACGTCTTATGCTCAACGTGTAAGCAAAAAACATATATGCTCAGTTCTCGTTAAAGTTTAAGAGATATGGACGAGAAGTTATTGAGTAATATGTCTATTTTCATACATAACATATAAATAATATAATGTTTATAAAAATAACACCCACATTTTATAAAATTTTCGGATTTTTCATGTTTACAGATTCTTATTTTAATTTGTAAATCTATCCTATAAAGGACCTCTTCAAAATCTCGTAGCCCATAGCTTTTAATCAGAATAAGTAAATTCAGTGCAAATGAAACAAATCACTGCAATTTGGTCCAAATATAATAATAATTCATGATATTATGATTATTATGTATATTTGATAATTCAATAGAAACTTTGAGAACCACATAATACGTCACTTTTATAAACTGGAAATACACACATGGCTTCACATTATCTATTAGAACCTCGTATTTAAACGAATTCTATATAAAACTCTGATCAGTTTTGTACTATGTTGTGCAAAAGACGTAACAATGGCTGCTAAAGTAAGTTAAACACAATCGAAATAATAAAAAATATTTTATTTCACTTACAATTAATATTCTATAAATTATAAAAAGATATAATTCTAATACATCATTAAAACTACATGTACCTACTGTCCACGGGAACTAAAAAAATATATTTTTCAGATTCTCGTAACGTCTGCAATTTTGGTGTTACTTGTAAATATTTCTCAAGCTCAATTCGGTGGCAACCGACCGGGAGGCTTCGGTGACAACCGACCCGGGGGCTTTGGTGACAACCGACCCGGAGGCTTTGGTGGTACCCAACACGGTGGTTTCGGTGGCAATCGACCTGGTGGTGGCGGATTTGGACAAGGAGGATTCGGTCAAGGTGGTTTTGGTAATGGTGGATTTGGTCAAGGACAAGGCGGATTCGGCCAAGGTGGATTTGGTCCTGGTGGACAAGGAGGCTTTGGACAAGGAGGATTTGGATCTGGTGGACAAGGGTTTGGACAAGGCGGTTTCGGTCACGGACAAGGCGGATTTCCCGGACAAGGTGGTTTTGGTCAAGGTGGTTTTGGTCAAGGTGGTTTTGGAAGACCTGGACGCTATATTAACTAAACTATAAAAACTACATGTGTAAAAACATATTTAATTAGTGATTACTAATAAAATGTTACTACGATTTAAAAGGGTTTTCTTTTAATACTTATTCACTTTTTTGATGACAAGCTATCGCGACTAAAACGTGTGGTACTAACGAAACGAGTCAACAATTGTAAGAAAAATTCACCAAACCGTGCTAATATACCCCTTCTGGTAGAAGGAGGAATTTCTGGATTCGCTAATTGAGTTTGGTCAATATTTGGCACTAATAAATTCACTCTCCTTGGACCAGATTCAAAAATAGGAGGAGGAGGAGGCAGATTAATTAGATTTGAAAAAGGATTTACAGGTCTTGATTCAGTGATGGCAGTATTGAAACGAAAAGGTGTAATAGTACTTCCGATTCTGTTAGTAACAGGTGGTGGAGTGATTATAGTTGGATTAGACATTAGTGGTGGATCTGATACTGGTACAGCTCCTATAGACGAAGGTTGGAAAAAACTGTTTTGTATTTGGGTAGGTTGTGGTGTCACATTTGATAATAATGTTGAAGATGCACTATTTACTTGAGTAAGTGGAGTGAGAAAGTTAGGGCCATCAGGAATATTTTCATAAACAGGTGCTGGAGAAATAGGTTGCAATGGTATTATAGTTGAGATTGGAGATATTGAAGACGGTGAAAAGATCTCATTATTCAAAACTGATGGAACAGTCACAGGAGCGGGTGGCGGTAATACTCCGGGTCCTAGGTTTGACACTAAGGGAATCACTGGATTAGGCACATTATTGATTGAGTCTGCCTGTCTCCTTGTAATGGAATGTCTTCTGCCATAGGCTCCAAATGGTCCCCATTTTTCTCTAGTAAATATTATTGGCTTGAATTGAAACGGCTTCAAAGAGATATCAAAATTTCTTTTTATACTTATTCCTTGTAACAGAGGTACACTGTTTACACACACAAGCCATTGTATAATGACTAATATCATACATATCTGTAAAAATGAACACAATTGAAAATAAGTATACACACACAATTCAAACTAAATTGTTAATTTAGAATATTTTCATTTTTAAAATACCTGAATTGAACGTGTCATATCGCACTGATTGTTACTGCAAAAATAGAATATCTCTTAGTAACTTCACCATAATAAAACAATTTCGATCTCAATTGAAAGATTAATCAACATAATCATTTCACGATCTTTACAATAGCACGCTAGGACATCTCATGTTTATAATTAGTAGTTCAAGGCAGGCCATTAAAGACAATAATAAGTGCCATATAAATTAATATTTTTTCTAAGAAACTAATAAACTTTTGCACTACTATATTTAAATTTTTCTTTTAACCTTGATTTTCATTACTTGACATTTAGCATCATCGTAAATTGTTTGATGAGTAGTTGCAATATAAATAACAAAGTTACGTTGTCGTATATAGTATTACAATTGTTGTGTAATAAAATATTATGTCTGCAATCAGCGTTTGTAATTATATCTGTCAATGGAAATAGATAATTCTCCCATATCTCCAAAATATACTGATGTATACCTGATTTTGACTAAAATATTTTGCTTGTTGTCTTGCAGTACTACGTGTACAGTTGTACAGCTATGTCGGTATGAAGGCATTTATATTTCACAGTTAATAATTTTCTTTTCACATGTATTAGACAATATATAGCTATTGTACAAATAGGTGCCTTAAATGTGCATAATTGCTAATGAATTTTATACCAATCTTACCTCGATTATTTCACAGACCGGATAGACAGGACGAGACAGGGGAAAGGGGATTGTTAGTAATGTGGACTGTTGACCCAGGTTGACCTCTACGCGGTTCCCCCTGGAAACCATCGTGATAAATTCCTTGTGAATTTGTCACGTTTGTTGTGTTGTTGCTAACTGAACCAACCTCATACTCATCAAACCCCCACTGGTGCCCCGCCAGCGTATAACGTTAGCATAGGTGGGTTTAATCATATTATTATCATCTAGTAACAAATATTAGGCAGGTTATTAAATGGTAGAAAGATATATACACATATATAATAGACGTAGAAGAAGATAGTTGTTTGTGATTATAGGAATTATTATAAATTAAAAGAAATTAATGTAGGTACTCTATAGAGCGATGAAAAAACAATATTATATAATTAATTCGACATTGACCAAGATAATATCTGATGCGTAAAATATCAGTGCATTGTTATATTAATTACAATCGAGTAGTAGATGAGATCTGAATTACCAGATAGACTAAAATGCCGCATGAATGCTGCACGATTCAATACAGAAATTTAATAATCTGCCAATTCAAGCGTACTAATCAGTTAGTACTAATACCTAAAACCAAAGGTAAAAATTTCTGCGGACTATGCAAAATAAAAGTATAAAGTATTATACGTTTGGTTTGATTCGATATTAAGAGTATATCCGATCTAGACGATGGAACATCTAAATTTAGGATTTTATAACGCCTTTCATACGTGTACATTAAAATAATGCAATACTTAAGAATGAGAAGGACTTTTTGGAATTTACTTGTACCTACTCGAGAAATGAATATACAACTTCTCATATGAACCGTCGCAAAACAGTTTTTTTTTAAAGGCTGTGTGCCACTTAACAGTGATATAGCTTGCTTGTGTTATAACATTTTATGCTTCCGAAATGGAAAAATGTGAGTATCATAGAGATTACATATATTAAGAAATACAATACATATAGTAAGAATAAAAAACATTATCTAGAGTTTATTCTAAATTATAGAATATTTAATTTAAATAAATCATTATTGAATGATCATTATATTACATTTGATTACTATTTCAGGACAATGGAAATCTCAAAATTATATTCAATCGTTCCCCTCATAGTCTTCGTAGCTAAATGTGATGAGAGAATATAATGACACAAAAATTTTAAAAATCTGCATGTGTGTAAGAATTGTATTCAGAAATTAATAATGATATTAATGTGGTTATATGTAATGAGATTATAGAGATAGAATTAGAATTAGCTAATATGTACTTTAATTTGAAATGGCAAGTAAAGTATGACCACGAAATTACCTAAACTACAAATATAAATTTACGAGTAGGAATATAAACACTTTAGGATTAATATCTCCAATAAATTACATATAACGACACACAATACGATCACGTATTTCTACGCATCTTGTTACCATTCCAGGAAGCACAGTTGTAGATGCTTTTAAACTTTTCTTAATATCTTCGTTATCTATATCCCTTTCAGTTTGTTGTGGTAAATAATCATTGTTATTTTGTTCTGTATGTTCTGATGTTACAAAATTATTTGACGCTGGCGGTCTCCGAGAATTAGTGAAGGGACCATGCATATATCCACACTCTAGTCTGTTATCACGCCACCGGCAACCATCAGACATATACATTGCTACGTCTTTGCCAATCGTCTTTCCCACATTTTTATTAAATCCACAAAGCAATCTGTCGTCTAACACATTACAAAGACTACTATCAAAATCATAAGGACAGCAGCGTTTTCGAGGTCTCCGCGGAGTATTCTCATTTATTAAGTTTCTGTTGTGAATGTCATTTAAAATTTTCTTTTCTTGATTTTCTATTATCGTTGCTGAAATATGATTATCCTGAATATTATTATCCCCGCAATTATTGGCTTCAACTATTGAAGATAATGTAAGGCATACCTGCAAATTATTTATAATTTAATAACGAATTCAGTATCTCTACTATATTGTCATTTGTTACATTAGTACTAATAAACACAGCCATCATCTACAATGTAAATCAAAGTCTATTGAAATTGAAAATCAACTAACTAACCATGATTGATTTTACATCGCCACCCAACATTTCTCTTATCAAAACGTCTACTCAACTTATCCATTGCAATTAACTTTTAGCAATTTTAACAAACAAGTACTGGCAGCAAATACACACACCATTTTTTACGTTACGGAAATGGCAAACTGTTGCCTATAGCAACTCCTGTGGCATGTGTTCCTCTGAGAACATTTCGAAATTTACTTTATAATTTCAATGTCATCCATTGAAATCTAAATACTAATCTAAACACTAGTAGCATACAGAGCAAACTACTTACTGATAAATAATCTTTAAGATTTACTGCTATCTTTTTGACTCTTTGGCTTAGTACTTAAACAATTTGTTATAATTAACAAATATGAGAATATCATTTGATGAGTAGAGAGTTTTACGTTAGTCATTTTTACATACCATATGCATACCATTCACTTTTGACATCATTCAGCAAATGGGCATAATATATTCTTATTATTGTCAAAATATTTACAAATTATTATATCTAACAATGATAATGGAATTAAATCGAACTAATCAGCTCCTGATTTACTTTTATATTATAATCATGAAAATTAATAATTACATGCCTTTTATTTTTACAACATAGTATATAAAAAGTGGTCACATTGAAATCTTTATACTTTATGAAATTCGTTAAAAACATCGTAGGAATAGCCTCACGAATAGCTTTATACTTTATAAATCTACTCATGAGGTAAAACCTACAAAATTATTTTTTTTAAACAAAAACAGCTTACAGTATTAAGTCAATACTCTTGCAATATTCGGTAATTGTAATTTATAGTTATTATATGTATTTATACTAAAAAATGAGCTAACAAAATTAAATTTGTTTAAGTAACCAAGTCACAGTCCTTTTTAAGAATTTGTTTTCAATTCTAAGTCCGTCTACATTTATTAAATTAAGATCGAGATAATCTACTTTAATGTTATCAATATATATATTATCAGCCCTTATTTTTCTCCAACGTTCGTTTCTTTTTATTGCACCTTTAGACAATCGCCATTACTGTTTTCTAGCAGTTCTTTTAAATATTTTACTCTATGTATCGTTTTTGTTCATAAAACTTTGGACACTCAGGGATCAGATTTCATTCAATATTTTGGGTAATTTTGCATATTTAGAATTAGCTAAGGTTTTTTTAAACTCTCTTTTTTTATTTTTTGTAATAACTATATTAGCAGCCGATTCTGGGCTATTCGGAAGTGTTGGGTATGTCTGGCAGTTATTACTCTTATATGTAAATTCGTTTTGATTTCCTTGATTTTTCATTCTGATCACCCACATAAGATTCTGCAAAGTTGAAGTGACATCCTTATTTTTGCTGTAATTTAAGAATCACAGCAGAAATAAAGAGTATATATTCTGCCATCATACATAATACACAATAATATTGTACCTATACCTAATAATCTCAGATAAACGGCAAATCATCTAGTTATTTAAAGAATAACAAGCAGCTACTCTTCGTATCTAAAATATAATAAAAATATACTTGTACTTAAAGTGTACATATTCGTACACATTTTCCCAGTTGTATTTTGTATCATGAATGTCCATTCTTTAGTGAATTTAAAATTTAGAAACAAGTAGGTAACAATGCCTATTATTTCACAAACAAGTGTAATAATCGGGTTTCCTACGACATATATTTAAGCAGATGAACTTCTGAAAAATATAGAATACATACTTTATCATGAACTAAATATTTACAGATGTTTTTTTTATGTCAATTTGAATTGGAGACCTTTTGTACCTTGTTCACTAAAGCGCCTGCAGATTAAATCAATGCAATATATATTCTTGTCTACATATCACTATTACCAAACTCAAAGTAGAGTATTATTTGAAACTTTCGCGTTTAAGACCCGATTAACTATAATAATAAAATAGAACGTCTCTGTTAATACTAAATATTGCTTTTAAATTTCGTTTATGTCATTAAAAAATTATCAATATTCCGCCAAAATTGTGAATATAAATTATAAGACATTGTGTAAAATGATGCTTTCATTGTATTAAATATATCTACTATAATGCTATCTGTAGTCGAAAGGAATCGATATTAATCTCATGATAACTTACCGAATCTATCAGTGTTTACTTCATTTCATGAACATAACAATGCCAATAACATTATCGGTAAGTTATTGAAACAGAATTACCAAGCTGCGTAGTCAGTTTTTTCCTGTAAACAATAGCACAATAACTTAATATAATTAACACAGTTTCAGAAGTGATTTATTTTTATTGAAGGCGTCATAATAAGTAACTGTGCTCCAAAACTTGGCCCATACATGTCTGATTCTTTACTTATGGAAGCTAATGAAGTAATACTAACATTAAATAAAGTACAATTTAATTCAAGTAGACTAGTAAAAGCTAATATAAAGAGAATAGAAAAAGGAAACAATTAAGATATAAAAAAAACTTGTTTTGGTTATGAATATCATGAAACGAAATGCAGAAACGTAGATAATTCTTTGCGGTTATAATAAAAACATAGATGATAATAATAAGACAGTTAAACAATTTATTGATTTATTAGTAAAAGAAAAAGTAACAATATTAAGTATGAGTTCATAATTATTGAAATCGTCTAATATAACAACTTTACTAAATGCTTTGTCAACTTTAGCAAATTCTACAAGTACAGTAACATCTAATACAACAGTTGCTCTTATAAAAAAATGTATCAGTAGTATAAAAAAACCCAGTAACATAGTGTGTTAAAAATAAATAATCGAGTAGTTGGTTATGTTGTCTAATTATTGTGGTCTAATTTAAAAATTACATAACTGCATAATACAATATACAATTCAGTAAATAATATAATTATTTGTATTTTTGTTAAAATAAAGGGAAACCCCACTTATTAATTGTTATTATTTAAATAATATTAATAAAAATATTTGTAGCAGAAAATATCAGATCCACTTAGTAGAAACCTGTTTTTAATCTATTTTACAATTCTAATTTTTTTATCGAAACCTGTTCAAAGTATAACGGCTTTTAATAACAAGATGCAAGAATCTTATCATGTTATCATTTCAGGTCGTCAATAGGTGATCTTCAATTATTAATTTATTAGCAGTTATCCTCGACTTTGCCTGTATTTTTATTTAGAACTAGCTACCCACCCCGGCTTCGCATGGACAGACAAACTGACAGCCACGCAGTCACACATTAGCCTGCAGTATACTGATATTTTTGATAAAAAATACTATAGTAATAATTCCGCACTAAATTAGAATAGGCATGCAACACATATAAACTAGATAAAACTTAAAATGCAACAATAATTATATTTATCATGAGTTTCTTCATTACTTGGTAACATTACAAACTATGGAAATAAGTTTTAATACATAAGGCATTGTCAATCAAAATTATCAAATTATTTTGTTAATTCACGTACAATTGCATATGCGTAGTTATGCATCTTAAATAATAACACAGTGTATGTGTTTGTTATTCCTTTTTAATATAGATAGCACGTAAATGAGTCGTGACATTTGAATTTGTGTATAACATATACATAGTTCTTCCAGTTCTCATGTCCTCGTGTATCTTAAGTTAGGTCAAATAGGTTATATTCAGGGACTTCTCTTATACCTGTTTTGTTCAAGGCGGATATTATCTAATGGGGTATGGGAAGTATCCTGGTAGGATATTTTTTAGATCTTGGTTGTTTGTATACAAGAGTGGTTGATTTATTTACAGAATCCAAGCAAATTTTTATCAAACAACAACATTAATTATTCACATGTGAAATTGATGAAAAATTAATTATTTTCGGATATTCGCAGAATACCTACTATATAATTAACATAATATATTGCATACTATTTAAAATTAAAATGTTTTTATAATTAGATGATTATGACCTATTCAATGAGAGCAACAAATGTTTGGTGTTTATAATTGTGTCTACGAGTGTTTACATTTTTTTAAGTATTTAGTTTACACATCAATACTTATTTACTGCATTTGGAAGTAGTAACTTTTAAATCCTTTTCTTCTTTTAGTCAATTCATATCTTATTTTAATGATATACTTATTTTACTTTTTAGGTGCCGGGAACATGTATCTTATTAACATGTTGTGGATCATAAATATCCGACATAAATTATATATAAAATCATATTTTAGGTTATCTATAATTACACATTCTGACTTGTACATAATGTACATTTTAAGTATTTGATTACTCGAGCAAGACTGTAAAAACGGTAGTTAAGTATAAAAGTCTAGTGTGTTCTGTCTGGGATAAAATCCCAAGGTTAAAAATATAAAAAATAATAAATGTTTCTTAACTTTTTAAATAATTAAATTAATAATAGACAATTAATGCTTATATTTTTTATAAGTATGTTGTGTAAACGGATTTTTATGCCAGCTAGGAAAATAAGCATGCTAACTAAGTAGTGGGTGCAATTGTGTATCTATAGGTAATTACCTGATGCAGTATGCTTTTGCGGATGTCCATTTATTTATTGTATTGCTCCGTCTTGATTTTTTGATTGATGATCAATGTACAGACAAACAATATATTCCCTACATATTATAATATTTATAAACCGCCTCTGTCTATATTCCATTTTTACAAAAATAGTCCTTAAAATAATGGCCAGGATTATAAACTTTTTGATAAAAAAAATGTTGCAAACGATATCAAGGATAGCACAGAGTCGGTTATTTACCTGTGAATCATTGGATACGAGTCAAAGATGGTATAAATAGGTGACTCCCGCACCATGGACACATATTCTATAGCAAGGACGGCAAAATGAACACTGTAAGTAGAATTTTCTACAACGTAGACCTATTCGCTACCATAATAAAATAATTTTACAAAAAACAGTACTAGTATACTTTTACGTGATATTTATATAGAAATATAGTATGAATTTTAAGTGTGTACTTAACCTATTAAAATTTAATTTAATTTTGATCTTATCGAAATTTTTACTCAAATTTTTAAGCTACTTTCTCGAATTTTTACTCTAATTTAAAAAAATCATTTTTAAATTCAGTATAAATAATATAATACTGAAAACATATATTAGTGAACAAGATTTTTTTAATAAATTGTTACGCAATCGTGGCTTGTTAGAATATAACAAATAATATTCTCTTTTTTTCAGTTAACTGTGTGCTTCATAATTTATAGCAGTCTAGTACTTGCCACAGCGTTACCCCTTGAAGAGAAAAAACAACTTGACAGCGATGCTCTCGAAACTCTAGAACCTTCTGAACATCATTGGCCGGGTTATGGTGGCTATAGATATGGTGGATTCGGCGGCATCGGCATCGGATTTGGCGGTTTTGGCGGTTATGGCGGTTATGGCGGATATGGCGGATATGGTCGCGGATTCGGTTACGGAGGTGGATACGGCGGTTACGGTGGTGGATGGGGTGGCGGATACGGTTACGGATATGGTGGTTACAGAAGACGTTATTGGGGTTGAATCAATGATTTATAATAAGTTCGCTTAGTTATAAGTATGAATAGTTATGTTAATAAACCTTTAAAATAATTAACTCTTGCTTATTCACAAATATTGTAGAAGAATCTGCAATTTTCTACCTACATTCACAAAATATACATGTCTATATCTAAACATAAAATTAACGAAGAACACACACAATACAAAAAAAAAACAAATACTCAAATTTATCTCTTTCTTTTGAAGTCCCTTTATATTAAACATATTTTTGATATATCTAATTATAAATTATCCTATTTTCTAATTACCCCTTCTCCTTCCAAAAGGTCGTTTGTCGGAATTTTTTTCAATGTCATACCTAAAGAATTATGCCATACCAAAATTTTGCTATACATATTCGTCTGTCTAATGAAAAAACACTGTTGATAGACTATCATACGGATACTGATTCGATTCTGTGTTCCATTTTCATTTTGGGTAATCCCTTTCTACCCAGTGCTTCGGGGAGCTGGTCCAATTCCCAGACGCTCCATGTTTCTCCAAACACTCCCATAACTCTGTATGTGTTCGTAAAAAACATCCAATTTTTATTTTTTGGCTAAAGAATTCGTGCAGAATACTAAAAGCACCACTGATGTGTATTCGACTAAAGGAATAATAATGACAGGCAGTTTTAAACCGGTTTCAATCCATCTTTCGTCTACAAAACTCACTTCATAGTTTTATTTGCTCAATAATAGCGCCCATTAATTTCACATAACGTTGCATTTGTTGATATCTATTATATACCATAATTGATAATGTATGACGGGATTGTCCCGGTGCCATATCTAATAAACATTGTCACAATGTGTTATTGAAGATGTGGAAAACAGAATGTAACAATAATAATCATGATATGGCATTACTCCTTGACACGGCACGTATTATGAAGAGGTTCTTGACTCTGTTGCCTTAACAATATTTTTATGAACTTTTTTGAGATTCCACTTTTTATACTTTTTTTATTCTTATTCTATATTATGTTTTTACACTGCGATCTTCCTTTTTTTGTAATTTTAACCCACCTATTACTGTTGCAAAAAAGCTGACCGCTCGACAAAAAGATAGGCAAATATATACTCGTACATGATCGGCCCTACATAAATCATAGCACAGAAAAGTAAAAGTTACTTCTCAGTTCTATGACAAAAATCACGTCGTCATGTGACCCCTGTGATAGTTAGTCCAGAGGATTAAGGCCTCCATACCCTACACTATACACTATACGCCTAACAAACCGAAACAAAGATTACAAAGCCTTTGGCAGAAATACGTAAATGTGTGATAATACATATTTATAGTACATGTTTAATGTAAAAAGAAAAAAAGAAGAAAAGAACTTAAGGCAGTCAACTCACGTGTAATTCCCCTGGTGTTGCGGATGCTCATTGCCCTCAGACGTTTTGTAAAGGAAACTTGTTTGCTCCCTATGCTTTAAAAAAATCTAAAATGTGCAGATCCCTTGTCGCATGACTAATCAAGTCAGGTTTCATCTTTTATTAGTAAAATAAATAAATCAATATGTACATATCGAACAATAAGCGTAGAGGAAAAACCACCAAAAGTTGTTGATTCGCGGGTCGAAGATGATAATTAGAAGTAGGTACATAATTTCTACAAAATACGCAATTTGGCACACGTTTACCAGAGTGATTGGTAGAGTTATCTCTGATTAAGCGAAGACGACTAACCAACTTGCCAATCGACATCTCAGTTGTAGGAAACCTGCTAATCCATTCTATAAATTTGACTATATCGTGTCATCTGTAAATTTTAGTTACTTTAATTCTTACCAATATGCATATCAACCAATTCTGTCAGTCTATTTTGTAAGTATTAACAATCATATCCTGTAATAGTTTTTCTTCAAATTCCTTTATGTACAAGAGTAGAATTCTGAAGAAACACTAGGATATTACTTAATAACATTACTAGTAGTTAGTTCCATAAACAAATCATATTATTCTTTCTTAGTATTGCATTTATAATAATAGTATGAAGCCCTGTCTTCTCTTTATCTATACTCAAAATTTATACTTTGTTGTTTAGATACATTAATAAAACTTTTACCAAAGAACCTGTTCAAAATTACTTGTCCTTTAGCTTTCAGGTATTAACAAAAAGAAGTTAATATTTTGTATTACTAGACTTAATTACGTGTAAAGTATCTTTTTTTTTAACTAAGTACGTGCTAACTCTAGCACACGAAGCGAATAACTGTGTATAGATACTAGAGCAGAATTTCGAGTAAGCAAATATACTTTAGTACCTACCTATTGCTTATGATACTGTGGAAACCGATATTCAGTAGTCAGTAGACTGTAAATCACTGACCTACGCTTAATTATCATAATGATGAATTTTGCAATTGTGGCAGGCATGGTGCGTACCGTACGTCTAAAGTTATTTCGGAAATAAAATAGGTGTTGTGATTTCTAGAAATTTCCTAATAAATTAGTAGAAAATAATAAATAAAGTCACATTTATATAATGTACTCTGTGTATACACATACATGCTCTACGAAATTAATCATTAGAATGCATTATAATTCACTAACAATAATATTAAATAAATAAGTGTGAAAACTTTAAAAGCAGTTTAGACACAATTCCATAAATAGATGAACGAAATATTATTACAAATAATACCCAATAACAGAAACTATAAACAAAAACTTATTCTATAAGAAATGATAAGTGAAGACATTTTAAAAATAAATTTAAGAAAATGATCATACACAACCTTTTTTATTCCCATAGTTAAGAATTTTTACGCATGTTCTTTTTCTGAAATATTTGCAAATACGGAGCAGATTGCGGATTACTTAGTTACTCCCGTGTCAGTCCTATACTAATTTTGATGCTATTGAATGTAGTTGTTTAGTGGACGGAAAATTTGAATATTAATTGACAATTGCATATATATTAGGTCAATATTATTATGTAATATTATATTTAAATTTCATCATTTTTATCATCAGATTTTTCTAAAATGATACTCGTAAACACCAGACGGAAACAGGTATATGAATATTGAAAATGTTTTTTTTTATTATCAAAATATCAAGGACTGTACATATATATGTTGTGATATTTCTTCTGATCTTTTGTAAAATAGATATTCAGAAATATAAATAAAAACTAACATTTTTTTTGTTTAAACAGAATTATCCCGATAACACTTACCTATATTTTATGCTAGTGCACATGATAGTGTTCTGTGTTGTAGATATTTATAAATATATACTACACGTACATATATGAATCAAGAAGTCTAATAGAACAATACTTTTTTTTTGCAGAGAAAGCTGCGGAATATAGGTAATATAGAATAAAAAAGTTCCAAAAACGAACTATATATTATAAAATATGGACAAAATTAGCAGAGTGCTCGTCTAGTAAGATCTAAAACATTTTTACATTTTGTCTTTCTTACTGTTACAAAATATTATTATATTATTACGTACTCCGTGACGGACGAGACAATATTGCTAATAATATTTATATCAATCAATAATATTTAAAATGCGAAGCTGAAATGGTAATATTTTTTTTTTAAAAGCGTTGTACCTATACATATTGTCTTATCTGTTACTATATTTTGTGAAAATTTACAGCAACCAACAAATCAATAAAAACAACAGAACTATACTATGTGCACTGTAGCATAGGGCGGGTGACAGTTGCCTGTATTTGTAGACTAGAACATTCTGGCTGGGCTAAATTTAATTTACTACATTTATTAATGATTTAATATATTACGAATGTGGTACAGCTAAAATACTAAGTCATAATTTGTAAATTGCGGCAACTTTCAAGAATGAAACCAAACGTTACAGAAACTGTCGCCTGCACAATGCTACAGCGCACTTGGTATAAATAAAATACTAAACATTGAAATTTATTCTAAACGAAATAAAATTCACATTTTCAGATTTACAAGAAGGGATAGTAAATTACTTAAATGCATATTGGATAAATAGTTCATATGAAATAGTAATTATTCATTTTATAACTTTACTATCTATTATCGAAAAATGTACTAAAATTAGTCTGTAGAATGATTTGCATTAATTCATATGCATTTACATTTATTTAAATTAATTGCTACCGGGAGGTGGCTTCTTCGAGAAGTATATATAGGTCTCCGATTTTACAAACTGATATTCTATCTACAGAATATAACCCGAAATCATGAACACTGTGAGTAAAATATCTATATTTTATTTAATATTTTAAATAGAAATTGGCTACGATACTTTTTTTCCAGATGTTACATTCCCTTCGTATCATTAATATTAGAATCTAGAATTATGAGTGTAAAACTCGTAATTCTAGTAATTTTCAACGATTTTACAAAATCTGTAATACATTTTATGTGATTAGTACTTTTTGAACAACTATATCTCGTGTCATATCATCACCACTTATATTTTTCGCATACCGGGTATTGGACCTTTTGCCAACGCTTTCAACTTGTGATCCTTTGTTTTTCAGCGTAGTGTTTAATTGAATATAATACCTATATATATAATATAATACTACAGCAACATATTTGATAAATAGACTCAACTGTCATTTGGTGTGTGTTGAATTGAATCCACAGGGCTTACCACCATATAAATTTCATCACCAAAGTTGGAATCAAATATCACCTCATAAATATTTTTTTGGTATCGACCAGTTTTGATTTCAACATCTTTAAGGTCTATCGAGACATTATACACAAGGATAAGAAACTATAGTGATTAAAGAGCATAAATCTATAAGTATTAATTTATTTTTATCTTACTTTTACAGTACCTGAGTATTTGCCTCGTGGTATGCTTTGCCCTAGCATACGCCGTGGCTGCTCCCGGCTGGGGATCTGAAATTGGGCCTATCGCATACGGAGGATGGGGAAGTGGACTCGGATGGGGAAGCTGGGGTGGTAGAGCTTTAGGCGCAAGTTGGGGCAGCCCTGTTACAGTATATACTGGCGGATGGAGCGGCGGCTGGGGCGGATGGCGTTAAAAACAAACTTCTCACTAAGCATTGAGAGATCCGATTTATTATAAAAAATATTTTTTGACTGTGATGAAAAAAAAGTAAATATTATTCAAAATTTAATAAATATTTTAAGTTTTTTCAATGTTTTTTTTTTCGGTTTTTTAATGCTGTTGGCAGCAGCTGGCCTTTACAGTTTCGTCGGAAGATAGGATGGCACTCCAAACCCGTGGAAGGACTTATAGAGCGGCTGAAGGCCAACTCCCGCCTGACGGATACGACTTTAGTCTGAGGGCATCGCTAGGGGTTTGAACCTCGGCTCAGGCTTCGTACTTTCGATTCCTGGTTGAATTGATCGATCGGAGGAGAATATTTTATTGCAATACAGAAAATTGTTCTACAAATATTTGTATTTATCAGTATCATTATAGTGGTGTAGCGATTTACAATACTGCGTCACCGTTCGGGTTGATTCCTTGCATAAAACTAAAATTTTTATTCCTTCTTATGTCAGTTTTCTATTCTAAGAGTTCCTAATTGTGGAAAGTAAATAAGTATGACATTTGACAAGAGAACAAACGATATCAATATCATTCACACGTAGAGGATCAATAGCTCTTACCGCATGTAGATTATTCTTATATTATGTGGTCAGTACATTTGATGGCTTTTGTGGTCATAATAAACAATGTAACTTTACCACAAAATACATTAAGTATTACGCAAAGGTATAGGTACATAATACTTTACCCGCTTTATGGGTTTCCCAAAAAATGTATTGTTCTTCAATTTTCATATTATATCAAACTTCCTTTCCATATATGTGCATTTAATTAAAATTATGAAGTGTACTTATTATTTGGCGTAGTATTTTCAACAATAAATACTTTTGTTATTTATTGTTGAAAATACTACGCCTTAATTAATCGAATCTGCACCTTTATAAAATGTTTAAGTTTTCCTTGTTATCGTAAATATTAACTTCTAAGAGAATAATCGTGGTAACTTTATACCAGTCTTCGGTTAATAGTTGTATTTTTGCTATTATTGCACAATGTTTATAATTTAAATAGCGTATAAATTATTCATATATTATAGTGTATTATAACCACTTTGGAGATTTATTATCTAACCAGTATTCCCCCTACAGATTTCCTTAAGATGTACTCCTGAAGCAGCTGTAGTCAGATATACTATGCAAATTCCATTTTAATGCCTTTGTTTTATCTAATTGGCTTTTTTATAAATATCAATTTATACTTGCTTTGAGACTAAATTACGAAATTTAAAAACTATATATATAATTTGGTAAATTATATGAAATTAAAAACATAAAGTGTACATATATTCAAAATCCTACTGTTATTGTAGAACCTTGTTAATAAATAGTATAATGCAGTTAATAAATGTAGAGCTTTGCTCTTGTGAATTATACAAAAATAGATAAGAAGTACATTTCAGTTTAAAACATGATCTATGTGTGTACTAAATATTGTAATTTTTGTTCTATCTTTTTAATAGTGATTCAGTATCAAGATGAGAAATTTGAATTTATTATGACTGAATGATAATAGAGTAGAAAGTATTGCGTCCTAATGGTATATAGCTCCCATTATAAAAACTAGGTGGACTCCACCTAGTGAGTTATTTTCACATTCATTTAAATTGCGAATTTTAAAAAAGTATACTTTATGTTAAATTAACATGTTGAATGGTTTTTATTAACTACAATGCCCAAACGATATCACACAGTCATAAGACCTACTTTCTAGGTAACAAAGAACCTGAAGAGATCAATCTCAAGTGCTAATAGGCCGGTTAGGCAGTGTTTTGGCGACAAGATAGAATAACGACCAAAACAATTGTATATGAAGCTGATTGCTCGAAACTGTACTTTGTAGCGTAATCAGAGAAAGAGCTTCGGCGATGGATGAAGGACAAAATTTGATAAGAACTGCTTTTTAGGATAACCGTACCTCTTTGGTGCTGTAAGCATATTGATTTTTGTGATATAATAGTTTCTACTAACATCGATAATATAACTTTCTTTATGATAATTTCGATGTTTTATTATTAGCTTAAATATCATTTAGAAAACTTATTTGTGACGTATCCATCCTTTACTACGTACCACTTTTGTTTTCCTTATTTTTCCAGTTTATTAGCAAACTAGTCGGCGATATTGTTGTTAGTTACCGGTTATTGTTAACTGTATTTTAAAGATTAGTCATTTGTTGGAAGAGGGAGGTGTTGAGGAAGACATACGATGACCTTTTCGACCCAAGAAGAGCTTGATCATATAAATAAGTTTAGAGTGCAGTGCACATCCAACATTGTGTTGCTGATAATCTCAAAATGAACACAGTAAGTCCATAACTTCTACATTAATATTTAACTATTATATTTATAGCCGTATTTATAAATAATAAATTTATCGTTTATATTCATGATTATATATTTTATTAATATTATTGTGTTTAAATATGTTTTTTTTTATACATTTAAATTTAAATGTTTTTACTGTCTGCTTACTTTCAATATATTCTTTTTGTTTTTCGTGTAATAGTAGTCGCAAAATAGTCAAAAAATTTCAAATTACAGATTTAGATTATAGAAGATTACTAGATTTATTTTAGAAGTATATATTTTAATTATATAAATTACAATTATAACATTAATAATAAACAGAAAATTTATATTAAACTTATGTCTAAACAGACAAGACACTCACCTTGTCATTAAATACATACTATAGAAATAGCTAACCGCGATCGTCGAAATGTTATAGAATCAAATTTTTTTAAATGAATTTGCTTTTTAATGCTTTTTACATTTTGTGTTATATGTTAAAAATAATTAAAAAACGAATTACACTCTTCATAGTAAATTTCTTGTTGTCATTAAAACAGAACGATACAAATTAATCCCGAAAGAGGTATAAAATTTGTTTTCTTTAGGATAGTCAGCCACTTCCAGCCAATACCTAAGCTATAAAGTAGGCGCTGAACAATGTAATTGAATTATATTTAATTTAAGTATAATAATTTAGTTACAAAATTAGAACGGAAAATTATATTAGTCTACGAATTGTTTTCGATGATTTCTTTTTAACTGACCTAATTAAAGGTATCTATGTATTAATCGCTACTGTTGTTATGCGATATTGGGCAAAAATACCATTATCTTTTATTACATTACCCATCTTCATCCTCGCCTCTTCCCGTTACGTGAAATCGGTTTTCTAATCTCGAAGCGCCAAACATTTGCTGGTAAACATCGTCATTTAACAAGCCCAACTTCTTCATGGCTCTAGGGAGCGATATTAGTCAGCCAGGTAGCCAGTAGTGGCTTACCTCGTCCTCTTTTCATCATAGCCATGGAAAGGCACTTCTTCACTATATGGTTTTTGGGTCTTCGCAAAATATGTCCCTAACAACTTACCCTACATCCTTTGAGCATTTGGGTAATAACTATCACTTCGAATGTACCCTTTACATGCTCGTTTCTGACTTTATAATAATAATACTTCAGGACAACTAACACAGCGTTATGTACTCGTATTATGGGTAATGGACAACCGATAAATACATAATACATTTTTTGTAAATAAAAATGTAGAAAATACCCAGGCAATTATAGTCATGAACACTAATGTTTGTACTGTGCGAGGAATCGAACCAGCGACCATCGGGGATAAGACGGTGTGTTAAACCGCGAAACCACAGAGGCTGTTTATCCCTAGTGTAACTCCACATGCCAACAAAAACTATCAAAGTCGAAGATTTTTTATTCTGCGCATTTTTCATAAATTCAATTGGTTGAAAATTGCTCAAATTAAAAAATCTGTGTGATTGTCTGTCTATTAATTTCTAAAATATAGCACACGTAGCTTTTTACTTGACCACTAATAAAAAAGATATCCGATATATACCAATTTCTATTATACAATATTTTCTTGTTTCATATTTTTTAAAACGTGACTTAATTTTAGTTCTTATTTTAATGAATCTGTAATCTCAAGATTTTATAAAGAATCTTCTTTTTAACGGCCTTCTGATGAGTATTTTTTTTGTTTTAGTTTACTTGTATCGCTCTGCTGATGTGCCTTGGTATGGCGTATGCCGCTTCTGTACCCCTACCAGAACTTCAACAAGTTGAAGTCGTGCAGGCAATAGAATCTGCGGGAGACGAGACTCTTCAACCGGAGGAATCTCGGCACGGTGGTCATCACGGACATCACCACGGAGGCCATTGGGGTCACCACGGTGGCCATCATTGGGGACATAACGGTGGCCATCATTGGGGACATTATCCTAGAGGACATTACTGGCATGGTTAACAATTGTAACATAGAGTTAGTTATAAATTAACAGTTGAATTGATTACGTCACTGTGAAAGTGTATCTATTTATTAAATTATTGTACTAAAAAATTTCATTTTGTTAAATATCATTTTTTTATATGTAACGAAACCGATCACAGTTTTATTAACAGTATTCTAATATTCTAGTGTTTGTAACCAAATAAATATGTAATTTAATAAATATAATCTTTTAATTTGAACATTACCTATTACAAAAATAGTGAAAAAAGTCGATCAACTATTTATGAATTAATACATAAATAGGATGGACTTTTTTCACTCATTTGATTTCAATGAAAAATAAAAAATAATGATAAGATAATACAATGGAAATATAATAATAATAATAATCTCAGAACAATTCACACAGCGCCATCTAGACCCAAGTTAAGCGATCTAAAGCTTGTTTTATGGATACTAGACAACTGATACAAATACATAGATATTTTTTTTGTAAATACATACATATTATACATAGAAAACACCCAGACCGACACAAACAATCATAGTCATAAATACAAATATTTATGCCGTGCGAGTAATCGAACCCTCGACCATCGGACGCAAAGCGGTGTGCTAGACCGCTAGACCACCGAGGTCGTCATATAGATACTTTACACCTTAAAGACCGTATGCCCACTGGTGGATCACTCCGCAACGAAAGTAAATTACACGTTGGGGATCACCGGTCATCAATGCGCTCTTCGACGTGTTAATAAAACACTTTACAACTGTATTCTCCGACGGTGTGGTCAGAGACATAACCATACAATGTTGCATCGAAATCTATGTACCTACTATTGACGTTAGAGTACTTTATTATGGGATATTAATACGACACCATGACTCTTTTTAAGACGCCTCAACCGGGCTGTTTAAACAGAATGGCAATTCTCTCTCTTCCCCACTGGGCACACTGGGCAAGTACCCAGGACCCCGCGATGGATCAGGGCCACCTAGTCTAGTCTAGTCCCTACTCCATTACCAAACGATAACCGATAGCTACTCTACTCTCATCTGAAAATCAATCTTAACAAATGCTTACCGACTATGGTCAATTTGTTGGTTTTTGTTATTTTTTTTATAAATGTCTAGCAAGAAATTCTCATCACATAATGACTTTTTTAAAATTATTTTTGCCTGGTTCGTTTTGAAGGTAGGGCTTTCCCATCTCTAAAGAGTCATGTTCTAAAATGACTTTGTCTATTCTAACCATACATAACATAATATTACATAATTCTAACATTATACTGCTTTATTAATATGGCTGGTCTAGGAGGAGGCTCAGCGGAGGCGCAAAAGAAGTTAAAAATATATCATAGAAAGATAATTTATAGTAACAATTTGTAACTTCATTGACAATAGTTAGTGCAAATTTATAAATATGAAATATCACTAAGCGACCTCATTACAACGCCTTTTTAAACAAAAAATGTTATGTGCTTTTTAGTGTATAAAAACACCACGTATTCCGCCTTCTTCTCTCTTTAGATGGATGACCTTGGTGAAGATTTTTCACAAATTAAGAATAATCAGAAGCATCTTAATAAAATTTTGGTATTAAGATCTATGTATACCTAGTAGATATTTAGTATATGGTTACTTCGAGAATCATTATACGTAAAACATAAAACCCCTTTTTACGAAAAAGGCGCAGACGAAGGAGTATAAAATTTCAATCACTTATATAGTTTATATCGAGGAGTGGTAAATATATTTTTATTAATTATGCGTATATAAATATATAAATAAAAACACATTAACGTATATTTGACACAAACACGCATATATAGAGTATATTTGTTTAATTGTTATTGGTGTTTCAAAGATCTATTGTATTTTTTCGAATCGACCATTGGACGACCCCTAGTGGGCGACAATAGATAATAAAACAATATTTTATTTTTATGTTATACAAAGTAATCATTTTGTCACTAGATGACTAGACACATAGACGATATCATGAGATCATACATTAAAAATTGTTTATACTGTCTGTGAGTTAATTGTAGGTACCCACCTATACTTTTGCGACTAATGGATTCAAATTGTGACCTTGTAGTAGGTAACTTTATTGGTCATTGACCAAATATAAGAGCAAAAAAATAGGTTTCTCATCTGCAAGTCATGCTTAAAATTGAAAAATGACTGCAAATTAAAAAAAATCCTAAAGAAATAACTACCACCCACAGTATTGATTGAATTATAAAATTGTAAGTATTATTTTATTAAGACAATTTTCCTTGTAAATTTTATTTAGTCATAATTTTAAATTATTAACTAAAAATATTGTTATCCTTAGGTACCTACGAATATATATAGATACAATTTTCATAGCTACTATAACTTAGTTAATATAAATTGACATCTATAAATTGCGTCACCCCATATTTATGAATTTTTGACCCCTCCCCATCATAATAATAGATCACATTTACGAGCCTCTCCACTCCCTTATGTGACGTCACATATGTTGCAATGAGATGACAAAACAATGTCACTTTTTGTCGACGTCTGCCCCTGACGTATGGGGGGCCCATACTAGCAACGTGTAACTGAATTTACGAATGTCCTTTATATAATAATATTGCAAATAAGGTCGCAACTTCAGCAAGAGCCTATGATTGCTCGTGACAGAATCTATCTTACCGTTATTTATTAAAAGTCGTTTAACTATTAAATTTCGACTAACGGATACATTTTTGCATGCATAATATGTAAGTAAGGATATCACAACGATTTAAAGTAACAAATGTAGCTATATCTGTTTATATATATATATATGTGTATATATATCACAGATAATATAATATTACATATGTATATGTAGTTATTGATTTTTTTCTGATAGGTGCTTATAGTCAAAGTTATTTATACAAATAGAACACTTTCAGCCATTTATGCATGTCAGAATTTCTTAACACTATACCTATACCTACCGTCCATTCAAGATACTTAATGAGAGGAACTGTCAAGAAATTCTGCTAGTAGATTTTTTTATGTTATTGAATGGCTCCTATTGAATGTTACCTAATATTAGATGTGGCATAAGTTCACACAGACATCAACGAAGTCATCATAGATAAGATGTTTATTTACTAATCTTTTGGTGACACAGTGGATCTCAAACAGGATCTTTGATACGATTCAAACAACGGGTATATGGGTCATCGACCGGTTTTAAAGTCCATAACATAATTTCAAAACCAGTTTCGAATGTCTTTAGGTATATATTTTACACTCGTCCACCACAAACACGTTAATTTAGCGAAAGATGTGTATATGTTTGTATTGTGGAATGGGTATAGGCTTCTTACGTCATTATATGCCTACATTGACTTTTCAATATACGTATATACTGAATAATTAATAACCCAGAACAATTCACATAGCTCTCAAACTTTGACCGACATTGTACTATAAGTATTAAAGAAGTGTTAGAAATACTTTATTTTTGTTTTTAATATAGACATAATATCTACAAAACACTCAGACCAATAAAAACAATCTTGAATAAAAATTATTGTATCGTGAGAGAATGAAATCCCCTACTAATGGAATTAAGCCAGTATGCTAAAGTCTCTACATCCTACACCACAACAATAATATATACTAAATAGTATTGGAGACCAAAAATGACAAAATATATAATACGATGTAATACTGGATTCCGATTTAGGGGTCGATGTTAAATTAGAAAGAAAATTTTGTTTTATTTTCAAAAACGGAATCGTTTTCTCGAGTGCGGGGAGATCGCACGCGATTACGTTTAGGAAGTAGAATTACTTGACAAAAATAAATTCGTTAAACTCTATAGAAAGAATACAGACAATTGGGATAAAATTACTATATAGTAAAATTCGTACAGAATGTAGCTTCATTAATAAAATACAAATTTCAATTAGGTTTCAAATAATTACTTATTCTAATATTATTTTATTAACCACGTTTATTTGTACTGGACGTTATAGTGAGTATAGAGGTAAATAAAAAGGCAAAGACATAATAAAATTGAATGAAGTAAAAACAACAGTAGGGAGAAATATTTTCAAAAGAAAGTTAAACGTAAAACACAAGATCGTACGAAGAAACTATTAGGCCATAATAGGACATAGGGGATGGATGCGCAATAGTAAATTAGATACAAATGTAAGTATTTATAAACAAGTACAGAATTAATATTACAATGTTAAATCATAGATGTGCTCAAAGTCAAAGTCAAACATATTGGTCACCACATTATAACAGTTGCTGCTATTTTAAAGTATCCTAAGTAGTTGTTCAACATACACTATGTTATGGATACTGCACACATATTGCATATATGCAATCAACAGATCATTAAATAAACCACGAAGACATTAACACAAGTAAATATGATTCCATCTTGTGATTATGTATTGAATGATGCAATTCAGATTTTCCTACACGTGTCATTTAAGTAAAATAACATACATGATGTTTTCAGATTAAAAAATACATCACATGTAGAATTTTACAATCACTTTTCTTACTGAATGGTGTGCCCGCTTCGCGGTATTCGAAAAGTATGAAAATGAGATAAGTACAGGTAACCCATCGCTTCGTGTTGAAATCGCTAAAAATTAACTACTTTGGTTATCGGAGAAATTGTGGAGGTCGATCTGAGAACGCAATAGTGGTAGTAGGGACTAGTGAGCCACTAGTCCCTACTACCACAGATAAGATAATGTTAGACACTATTACTAACACTCCCCTTCCCCACAAAACAACTAGTTGATTACATTCTTATAAAAAAATGATTATTACATGGCTACGTAGAAAATAGGTAAAATTATTAACTTAGAGCTAAAATAATTGGGTCGTTTACTTTCATATCATTACTAACCAGACGTCCTTGAAAGCTACAATATAAAAAATCCCGTCTCCTAAAACTTGGAGAAAGGCTTTCACGCCTGCCTTACGTACAATCGGTTGGGAATCGTCGTGAAGTGCAGTAACGGACTGATTAAAAAAAAACATTGATTTGAAATAGGAAGAAAAATGATTGTAAGTAGATATGTGTATTTTTTTTCTTATTAAATTTTGCTAATTCCTTAGGGACCCGCCCTGCCCGAGTATTTCAATAAATTTGCAGAAACCTTTAATGAATTATGTATAATTCTTTAAAGTTTTCTGCAAATCAATGTGGTTGGGTGTACCCAAACCTTCCTTATAGAAATCACTCTATTGATGGATTAAACCCGCATGTAAAACGGTTCAGTCGTTTCTAATATTATCGAGAACATACATATAGACAGAGAGGACAGATATATACAAAATAATATTTTTAGTTTGTAAGTATCTAAAAATCATTACAAAATTGCAATAATTTTTCACTTGTTCAATAGGATAGTAATTAACATATGCGTCAACTTTATACGCAAGTTTAGGATAAAAAATACAATTATGATTAGCCAATACAGTATACAATATAAATTAATACTCTTCTTATCGGCCGGAACTCTAAATTGCGTAAACGCCAGTTTTCATCAAAGTTTAAATATATTTGTTGGAGAGTAAATCGAATCGGCACCTGGAATTAAGTTCATTATTAGGAATAGTATTTTTAGATTTTTTAATAATCTTATGTAAGTGTGATAATAATATCTTATGTACCTATAGATTTATTTTTTAACATAGACAATGGCTAAGAAAATATTATTAACAATTTCAACTTAACGACATCAAACATATTATATTTATTATACCTATTTACCTACTCATCCACTCAAGAAGATGAGCAATCATATAATCATACCAATGAATATGAAATAAATTACTACTTATATCTTTCTGCATAGGTAGTAATTATACTATGCGTGATTCATTCAAGTCCTTATGTATTTACAATACAATTTATAATAAACAAATTAGATTTTGTTTCACAAAAACCGATTTGGGTCGTGACTATATTAGAACAACTTAGTAGTTAATATATCGATAACAAGTCAAAATGAAAATCCTAATAGTTAAACTTTTTGTTTTTTAACAGATTTCCTTTTGTAATTTTTATGCGTTCTAGCATGCATCGTAACAAAGTCCAAGTCACTATATATCTACATAATCATGAATCGTTTATATATATACATATAATCCATGTATACTTGACATTATAATTGAGAAAATGTGTATGACTGTCTATTTACGTTCTCGCCACAAAACTATTCATTGGATAGAAATGAATGGCATATTGATAGATTGTATTCCGAGCCTATATTTCATTAGTATTAAAATTATAATTGTAACAGAATGTCCATCTCTCTCTTTGTCAGCTTAATACCAATAATGGTGCAGGTACGGCTTTGACATGAATAGTTCATGAGTTCATCAAGAGCAAATAGGCAATATTTTATACCAAAAAAGTAAACCAAGTCGTAGATACAGTTGGAACAGCCGTAATGTGAAAATCAACCCTAGCAGCTCTCTATTTTTATTCTCCTTTAAATGTTATACAAATTTTCAATTTCAATTGACCACCATTTATGATTTACCATGTGATGATTTCATTGTTAATTGAGCATATCATAGACACAAATAAACAATTAAAATAGGTGTTTAGTAGTATGTACCTATTAAATATTTATCCTCAATGCACGTTAGAATATGCGTACAAATATAAATATAACTACAAGTGCCCTTTATTCTTTTATTGACTTACCAACACCTCTTATATTCCGTAAAGTAAAATATGGGCATAACTCGCCATGAACAATTAAGAATAATAGGCACGGCATAGATTAAATATTTATTCGGTTAGTCGAAGTACTCACAGCCGAGACAGATTCAATAATATAAAAAATAAGTAATTATAATCGTAATAAATGTATAAATAACAGAGAATACTATTATAATATAATAGTATAGAATAAATTCGCCACAATGATTATATGTATTTGTTGTAGAAACAATTAAGCTGGTTGTACACTTACGTTAGTGTTATTTGGAGCGTCGAATGTGCCACTGCAATATTGGACCCAGCATTGTATTTATCACCAAGCCCACCCATGTCACCCACCAGTGGTAGCATACTACCAGGAGACTTGTGGTTGAAACCTTTCAGCCAGAGACATGCACGGGACACTGAAGACCTCGTTGTACTACCTAGTATTGAATCGAGTAAGAATACACTCGTTTTTCTTATAACAATATTTTTCTAGCTGTTCTGTAATAGATTATAAGTAACATATAGGTAACTTAACCATGTAACAAAAATGATTTAAGAACTTTTAATGTTTATGCTTATTACGAATAAAAATTTTGAATGCCTATCAGTAATTCTACATTTTTAACGAAATAGCTAGTCATCGTAATTGTGAGCCAAAAATATAAGTAAACTTGTCTCGTAATGCAATTAATTTATATTGTGCCTAATTATAAACATTTTTATTCCAGAACAACAAACAACAACAGTGAAAGAGGAAACAATGGAAAAGGCAGAAACTTTCTGGCCAAGATTTCGTAGTGCGTCCTACGGCCTTAGGGGCATCCATATTCCGGTGACTTTCAGCATATCTGGCAACTATGGCAGCAATGGTTATAGTAATTTTGGAGCCGCGGGTATAATCGGCAGCAGTTATGCAAGTGTGTCTAATGATGATACAGGCATATTTGGCTCCTATGGTAAATCAGCTTTAGCAGGGAGTAGCTATGGAAGTTATGGGTCGGGGTACCCGGGAATAAGAATATTTGGAAATTCCGGAAAACCAAGTTGGAGTGGTTGGGGTAATGGGAAGTGGGGACATTATGGCAAAGGATAAATCAATAATAATATAATGAAGAAAAATGAAATATGTACGCATAATAATAAATTAATGTATAGTACCTACCTAATATTTTATAATTATGTACGGGAGTTTAATGAACTTAAATATGTTTTCAACTTTCGCGACAATGGTTAACTGAATTTAACAAAAATTGTATTATTCGTAAGTTCTTCTTAAGATACAATATTTTAATGTTCATGTTATCACCACAATAGATATCTACATATTTCAATAATATTAACATACCTATAAATAATACCTAATCCTTTTGAAATTTTAGTACTCGGAAAACTGTTCAAAGAAATATTAAGTGTGTTGTGATCCGACTACATAATCAAGTTTAATCTAGATTAAGAAAATCCTAATTACATCAATATTCAGTATCAATATAATTTTATAGCAGACAAGTTTATAAAAATACCAACACAGACTAGAACTATTTAGAACTTTGTAATCATATGTCACCATTGTATGTAACCTGATTTAATAATGAAAGCACATCGAATTATCATCTACCTTGATGTCGTTAAAGTGTCACTCTTTAATGAGCCAGTTTCCTGTACTATTCCAATTTATAGCGCACAAAATAATGCATCTTTGTTATTAGTCACATTGCAATGGAGGGTGCCGCATTGCTATTAATATTTCTACCGTGTTTCGTCTCTTGTGCCGGGGAAGGGAACATATGGCTTTTGGAAGAAGAAGTGGCTACTGCATTAAAGTATTGCTTTACTCCTAGAGAGGAACACAATACAAATAACCAGCGTCAACGCCGCTCCGAAAATTACTCACGATTAGACAGTCCAAGGCAGATAAATCAATATGGACACGAGATAAGAAACACAAGCGATTTACGAGAACAAAACATTTCTGTTCTGAATGCAACTGATTATGATTACGGCGGATACGGAACAGGGAGTGGAGGTGAAAAATTGGTCACATCAGCTCCACGGATAGCTAGTAAAAACCTTTCTAATGAAACTATTAATGGTAACACTGGAAATACTATTTCTAATAGAACTAAACGAAGCGATACACTATTAAATAAAGCTGATTCTGATCAGGTACGATTAAAAACATCATATATTTATTAAGATCATTGATATGTTGGCATTAATAGGACTGCTTATATAAATTAGATATGTAAGGAAAATAAATGAAGTCTATTTTTATGACGAATAGAAGGCAGCCAATATAATTAGATAAGAACATATCTAAGTTAGAGATTATCCTTTCCTTGCCTTTTGAAATTAAAATACATTATACATTGTGCAGTTTTTGGGTATAATATAGTTGTACTGGTAACAATTGCCCATGCTAAATACCTATGCACTATGTCCTATGTTTATAAATGTTTTATTTAGCAATAAGTACCTATGTAAACAATTAACAATAAGTTAAATATATATTTTTTTTCAGTGTTTGAGCCAGTGTGTATTTGCCAATCTGCAAATAGTAAGTTATTTCTACTTATTTTTATTAAAACTAAAGATACCTATTTACCTACTTATAAGAGATCTAATATTATATAATAAGATATTTGAGCTTATTATATATAACCTTATATATTGTAACCTTATCTTACAATAAATCCAAAGTACCAAAATCACTCTCATTTAAATAAAAATTATTTAATTTTAACCTTATTCGAAAGATTGGTCTATGATCACCTTTATTTTGTTTTATATACGGGGACTTATGTTTTTTTTGTTTATCAACCAACTTACAAATATTTTTTGTTTTTTTTTTTTATATGGATATCTGTCATAGTCACGTATTAATTACTTTAAAACCTACAATTTAAATCAATTTTTTGCATAAAATAATAAGTGCTTACTTCTGTCATGAAATTAAAACAAAATCAAAAAATAATTTAAATTGCTTCTTCAGAATACTTACATCTTCTACATACAGGGATTTCCCACGACATATTGTAACTTGGGATATTTAAGGTTACTCTCGTTCATCCGAAGGCCAATCACCTCAAAAATATAGCTGCAAATCAGGGTCAGATCCTTTGGTTAATTTCTAGATTTTCAACTATAAAGGCTATATATGTTTTATATATACTACTTACTGCTGCTACTACAAACCTATGGTTCGCATCAATTTATTTATCAAATAAAAGTATAATTCCAATTTAAGATGTAAATAATAACATAGCTTTGTATCTGTTATGCCCGATAGGGTGAATACAACATTTAACATGCTCACTAAAATATGAAGTAACACATTTTTTTTTGTGTTACTACTTCACTACCATTGGGTATAAATCCTGGTAATAAACAGCTAGACAATGACGTTCTCAGTTTTATAATGAGCACTATGTGGAGATACGGCTTAAGTTCACACTAAAGCCATATTGTTGTTTTAATGTATTTTGAGTTTTTAAATAGTAAACAGCGATATTAGTAGTTGTCACTAGGTCGGCCATGGATCCAAGAACGTAGGGTCAAACTTGAAAAGTGTTTATCTGTGGCAAGACCTTTAGTCTTGCCACAGATTACATCGATATATATCGATATATTCATGCACAAAACACACTTTAAGAGAGCTACAATATTATATCTCCACTATGTATAAACAAACAGGTGGACTCTCAAGGAATACCACGTGAAATTGAACTTTGGAACAAAGTACAGTCATCGGTTACCTCGCAACAGTCTCGTACTGCTTTGAGAGATCAAATAAGAGCGTGTTTTCAAGAATTAGAAACAGGTAATATAAATTTGCTTTCATAAAAACTACTAATAGTAACTGAGAATGACAAAGAAGTTGACGACGATGATCATTATCTTTGCACATAGAACACAATTTTTGGCATAGACAGAATGTCCACTACGATCAATAATACCAAAACCCAGCAAATAGTTATTACTTCAAGAAGTTATATTAAATAAATGTAAATAATACAATTATATAACTACTCGGTAGGTACTATCAGAAATATTTTGTATTTACCTAAAACAGTAATTAGAATAAGAAGAAAAAACAAAAACAATATGAAACCAAACCGCAAGCGAGAAATTACTTACTCAACTATTTTACCTGAAATAGCATATCATAGAAATAAAGTAGTACTATATTTAAACATACATATGTACGTTTAATTTTTTTATGGATGACAATAGAATGTTGCTTCCGTCTGCGCTAACAATTTACGCTGGCGGGGCACTACTGGTGCATGATATGATCATGATAAAGTCAGGTGTCAGTTTATCGTGGCGATTTCACGAGTAATTAACTAAATTAGTTATCATTACTAACAAACCCCTTTCCCCTACCTATATATATCTACGATCACGACTGTTATCCCAAATGGGGTAATCGGAACCATAGTGCAGACACATTTTGCTGTCTTTAGAACCTAACTTAACAGGCTAACGATTTAATGCCTATTATTAGATTAGATTTAATTATATAATCCAATTGGATGTTTATCAAAATTTTCAATTAATTGTGAATTACTCTGTTACAGAAGAAGAGGATAATGGTTGCTCTTATTCGAATAAACTAGATCGGTGTCTTATGTTGAGATTTTCTGACAGAACGCCAAACGAAAATACGAAAAAAGCAGAGAATTAAAAAACAATAATATTAATTAAGCATTAAAGACTTAATTATTAAGGATAAATAATGTTATTATAATTACATTTACCTATAGTAGGTATTGTTATTTTATACTATATACCTATAATAATACCTATTACAGAAATATGATACAGGATTGTTACTAATTTAATTTAAATTTGTTACTAATTTAGTGCTTTGTAAGTAGGTTTTGTTTCACAAATATGTAGGTAATAAATAGACCATACGTAAATAAAAAATATAAATAAATTATATACCTATCTTAGTATATTTTTACTAGTTTTCTTAACCATAAATTCTACGTCAGTTCGTCACCACAATTAAAGTAAGCACCTATTGTAAATGTGAGATCCTTTTCATTTATTGTATTTACTTTCCAACTGTTTTATAAATATAATACAATAGGATAACCGGGGAATGAAAATGGCTGTGGGTGAAACACAACTGCCTCATCCAAACTTATATTTCTTAACTCGTGTGGATATATCTGTTTCGGTAATGGGTCTTGTACAGTCTTCAATTCCTAAAAGATATAAATTTTATAGGGCTTATTTATAATGTGACTCGTATCAAAATACGTAAATTATTTGTTTAATAGTTTAATATTTAGTTTTGTTACTATTTTTCATTTTGAAATGTTGGAAAATTCAAATCTATTTCAATGGTGGCTCCATTGAAGTCTTCTTCACTCCATTCTAGTCTTCAGTGCCACACACTTCCACTCACACTCCTTGACAATATTTCTCCTCAATATTGAGTAGATTCAAAATTAGAGAATACTATAGAATAACTAATATATTGTTTTCAAATACCTGGTTAGCTAAATAATTCTAAACACATACATACACAATATTTAAATGTACTCGTTACAATTAAGAGAACAAAAATGTTAACGAGTTCCATTACGACTGTATAATACACGGGCAATTGTACAGCACGGCGTATTGTGTATAAGCTATAACCACTTTATATAAACTACATACTCCTACACTATTCGTAGATTTTTAATCAAAATTTCATAGAAACATATGTTGCTTTGCAAACTTTATAGTCTACGCTGTTTTAAAATTAGTGAATTGGAAAATAACGTTAGGTAAGTACCTACATCAGTATTATTAACAAATACGATGCAAGTATTCTGTATTATGCAGTCAGTGATAAAAGAAAAAAATTACTTCCAATTACGACAATATTTACAATGAACAAATGCAAGAAAAATATTATTTATTTAAAAAAAAAACATCGAACTCATCTAGTGTTCTCGTTGCTTCTCTTTCATTTTGTAGATAAACATATATGTAATTGATTTGTATGTGTAGATGTGTAGTGTAGCTTGATCTTTTTACATAGATATGCACATTACAATGTTATTAAATGGAAACAGAAGAATTCAGTCATTAATATTTATTGTATGAATTGTTACATAATAATTGATTTTCTACTGTAAATATTCAAATATACATGGTACTTTGTGGTTAATCATTCATGTAGATGAATCATATAAAGCTAACAATGTATTTTTTATGAATTGATGTGAAGGATTCTGTTCTTACAAACATTATTTTCAGAATAATTGTTTGGTTCTTCAATGAACTAATCTTTTATTATTAAAAATATATTGTTTAAGTTTTGTTTTAAACCTCAATATAAATACTGTAATTATTAGATTTAATACTGCCTGTATTTGACTACTTATTATTTAAAGAATGTTTATTAGCATATCAATTTTCATTTATTACTTTGACCAGCATACAAGTCTCTTTTGAGGAAAGAAAAGCCATCTCATTTCATCACAAACATATAAAAAAATATTTATTTGTATTTTTTTTAGTTGTGTACTCTCAACAATATATTATGATATATCTACCAGACATAATATGAGTCAATTTATTTAATATTATTAAATTTAACACATTAAGTGTTCATATATATGAAATTTAATGCGCTATAGGAGCTAATACTGAGAGTGTCAAATTATTCAGTGCTAGAGGTGGCTTGCTTGAACACACTTTAGGTTGGGCTTGTATATGTTTTGACCACCTAAAAAGATGAAGTAATGACTCACGTTCATAAATTGGAAGACGTTCCTGGAATTAATAAAAAATAGTAAGTACAAAATATTTAATTTAATTTCAATATTAATCAATATTAAGTATAATGAGATAAAGATTGTGAGTTTGGCAGTTCAAAGTACTTTTTGGTCCGCTCAAGTGAGGGTATAGGCTACATAACATTACACTATGACCAACAAAAAGGGTGCTGCAATTAATAATGTAAAACAGAGAAAATGTATTGAGATCAAAGTCAGCTAGTATTAAATAGTATAATGCTTTAATAGATAGTAGTCAATGAACATAGTAATTAAGTAATCATAACTACTTTGGTTTTATCCCAAATTACTAGATTTAAAAAAAATATCTATGGCTAAAGCAGTTACTTTTATTCTGAAATAGTGGATGGTTAATATTTGGACTAATGACCCAAAAGTATACTTACTAGTAGAGGATATAATGCATAATAAGTTGCAACATCAACTATATTTATGAAATTGCCTGTCAGATAGGTATTCCTTTGTAAGGCCTTGTTTATGTCCTGAAAAAATTATAAACAATATCAGTAGGTACATAATAACTTGTAAATTATTAGATTACTTTAAGGTAACGTAAAACTATACCTGCAAGAAATTCTTGGCTAGAATAGGATTAGTAACTGCCTGGTTGGAATAGATTGCAATATGCTCAAGCCATTGATAGCTAAGCAATAAATTTTCCTGTGACATTTGTACACCACTTTTTGATACTAATTGTAATACAATACTTGCAAAACCATATACATTCTGTTTACCCAATACTGTTGTCAATACCTAGAAGTACAAGGACAATCATTTATATAGATCAGTTAATAAATATTATAACTTAAAATTCTACAGCAACAAACAAAAATTAGATACAGACCCTATCAGTGTTATAGCAAACTGGGCCTACAGGTGTGTTTAAGTATTTTCCTATTAGTTTTATTGTCTCTGTATTACACGCACTCATTTTATTGTTTTTGACTAAGAATATCTTTCTTCAATTTAATGTAACAGTAAAATCTATCAGAAATCTTTTTAAGTACTAAATATTATTGAATAATAATGATAATAAAATTAACTAAGAAAACTAAATAAATATGTGTGGTCAGAATGGTAAGGTTATGTTCAGTTTGTGGTACAGTCACATTAATATTTCAAATGCAAAAAACAGCTAAGTGAAAACAAGACTTCACGCACGTCAATACGTCAATCAATATTGTCGTTTGTTGGAATTGTATTTTAACTGATACAAACCAAAGAAAAAAGTAGTACAGATAACTCGTAACGAGAATATCATGAGTTATCTATGTTTCTGTGAGCGCTGTCAAATCTGTCACTGATTAAGATTCTTTGATATTTGTTCGTATTTTTCCTATTAGGTACTAAAAAAAACACGAAACTTATAATATTTACTAACTATTTAGTCTCTTTGGAAGTATATATGACATATTAGGAAGTGAACGGATAAATTATAATACCATATAGAGCATAGGGTTTATGAAGCAGAGGTGTTAACATTAAACGAACTATGAGCCTTAACAACAAACCATAACATTGATTTAAGTTTTCTCTTTGTATAATCGTTAACATTCATCTTCATGTTGACTCTATGTCATGATTATTTTCGAATTATCTCTCTCAATAAAAACGGCAAAGATGGTAACCAACACAGTAGTCGTAAAAAGTTTACGTTTGGTTTATTCTTACTCCTATTGGTTGTTATATTGTGGGTTTTATCGTCGGAAATGACCAAAGTAAGTATCTTTTGCTTACATCTCTATTTACTTGTAATATTTATTTTATTTACAATAATGGTTGTATTTTTTTCAGTATATATATGTAGAAAAGAAACTAGAGAGACCATTTCTAGTAACCTATGTTCGAAGTTCACTATTATTTGTTTATCTTTTGGTGTTATGCTTCACACCACCTACAAGGGATCCTTGTCGACCTGTTGATTACACTGTAAGTATATATGTATTATTTACTCCACATACTATAATAATTAAAAATAACTCTTAATATTTAGAATTTCATAATTAATAGAATTGTTTGTTTGACAGCCAACTTCAATTTAGATATATATTGTTTATTATTAGTACTTGTATTTGACTACTAGTGGCTATATACAAGTTCTATGTATTTGTAACTAGATGGTACTGTACAATATGTCTAGATTAATTTATATAATTCACATAATAGGGAACATTTTTTTATTTTACATTATAATTATGTTTATTGATATTTTTTTTATGCTTAATATGTAATTTGAACTATTTCAGCAATTACTAGAGCATTCTGCTGAAACAGATGATGAAAACTATTTTAGTGAATCCACTAATAGTTTGGTAAGTATTTACTCAAAATATTATAACTATTAATTTACAATGACAGAAAATTAAAACAGAAGAGGATTGTTAAAGGATTAATGTTAATTTAAAAAAGATACTTATATTTGATTTGTTCTTTAGATGTTTCTATATTTCTATGCACACATGATGATATATATAATACTTGTATAGAATTTATGTAAACAATAACTCTTTTCTAACTATACATTGACTATTAAAATAAAAATATAGTTGTAAATAATCTTAATAATATTATAAACCCAAAAATTTGTAAGTATTGTGTTATAAGGATGTTTGTTATTCTTTCACTCAAAAACTTCTGAACGGATTTTGATGAGACTACAGTAATATAGCTTATGCATCAGAATAACATATAGGCTATATTTTTTTTATTGAAATTTAACACAGGTAAAATCACAAGCACAGCTAGTATTTAACATTTTTGAAATTGTATAAAATATTCATATGGCTTATTCCAGGGTGATTCTACATTTGTACCAGTTCGTGCTGGAGAAACCACGGATAGTGATGATGCAGCTCCAAGAGCTGTACGCTTCAATAAAGTAGCAGAGGTAAAAATTAGTACATTTTTTATATTGAGAAAAAGTGTATTTGGTGACTTCTTCAGAGGCGAGACATGTGTCGCAATATAGATGTAGAGTATAATGTCAATAAAGTTTGGGATTTCCATAATAAAGTTGAAAAAAAATTCATACAGTTTGAATACTTGTGATAATAATATTAATCCAATAAAAAATTAAATTGACTTCCATAAAATAACACCTACTTTGATAAGTTTAATCCAATACAAAAGAACAGTTTAGAATTCAAAATATTTAAATTTTTCGATTGTGCTATGAAATCTCTTGTCTCATATAATACAAAGCTGCCCTTTTACTTAAGAAGAAGGCTGTTCATGCAATTGTGTGATAATTATTATAATTGTGCAGGTGCGAGTGATGTCCGCGGCGATGGCGGGCGAAGCCCTACTAGCGAGGCTGTCATGGGCCGCTTCAGTTCGCGCCAGCGAACATGCGCAGCGCCGCGCCGCCGCCGCCGCCACCCGACGACATCTGCGACTCGCTCTCCTCTTTGCTGTTCCAGTACATATAATTTGTTGACTACACTTCATTTACTAATTAAAAAAAAACTTTAATTAAATTTATCTTCATATATCACTCAACAATTGTGTGCATGGAGCAAAAGCAATTTAAACCCTTAACAATGCCCTGAGTAGTGGAATATTGATATGCAATATGAAAAACAATAAATTACTGATAATCGATTTCAGAAATTACTTCATTATGAAAAAAACATACACAGCTCTTTGCTATACCTGCCTTCAATTCTTAATTCATTCCATTGGACACTAGATTTTCACAAAGTGGATCTAGTAATTTAAGGACGTCACTTAAAAGTAGCATTATTTTCATTCCCCATATTTCGATACCATATATGTTAATTATAAAATACCATTTGTTTCAGTGGTTCATATCAAACTACTTGTACCGACTAAGTTTGAAATACAGTGCAGCAAGCACGGCAACGATCTATACTTCTACAACAGGCGCACTAGCGCTCTCGTTGGGCGCGGTATTTACTCAAATGCCTAGCGATCGGTTCAACCTTTCCAAATGTGTCGCCGTTTTAATCACCGCCGCTAGTCTGGTAAGCTATCGACAATACAATTTAAAAGTAATTATTTTAATTAAGGAATTTCTTAATTTATTTTGTTTAAGACGCTACAATTAGCATATGTGCTACAAATACCATAAATATTCAGTGCAGAAACTTGATTACCGTTACGACATTCTCTAATGGTGATAAAATTTCAACTGTTATTTAGTCTACATTCATATCGCGTCACATGTTTCGTGTCTGAATGAAACATCATCAGGTATTGAATAGTGTTCGGATATAGCTTAGAAACCTAGTGTAGACTGTACGGCGTCGCAGTTTGGTTGCCGAAACAGTGCAATGAACTTCTGCAAAATAACATTTAATTCAAAAAAATATATTAAAAGAAATTATTAATTTTTGAAGCTTAATTATAATGATAAAAATGTTAATTTAAATAGATAAGGCATGTCGTATCATATACTACTATGTCTGTAGACACAGACAGAATTCTTCCTCTGTTACTTTCAGGACACCTATTTGTTTGAATTTGAGTTTATAATTTTTCACTCATATTTGAATTTATTTTGTAGGTGGTATTAGGTTTATCAGAGAGTCAGAACAACTGGAAAGCAGTATTCTCTGCTCTTGGCTCCGCGTTATGCTATGCGGTGCACCTTGTGATGTATCGTCAAGAGTTAAAGAAAGGTGACGGTATCAATTCTCCATTGCTGGTTGGTAAGTTATATATAATTTTATTTTATATTATCATTGTTATGAAGATTATTATTATACCTTTAAACTTCCTCATAACACATATTTTTCTAATATAGACTTATTATATTTTTGTTTTATTTTCATTTCTTCTTGTTATGTGGCCCCCTTGAGTAATGCTTACAATTCTTTTGTAAATGTTCATTTAAATTTATAGGTTTAGTGGGATGTGCTTGTGGTTGCATAGCATGGGCGATGGGCGGAGTACTGGCCGCAGTAGGCATAGAGTCTGCGGAACTGCCTCCGCCCAGACTCTGGAGTTGGTTATTACTTGATGCGGCCATTGGACCACTTTTAATTGAATCACTATGGCTATGGTAAGTATTTCTTTACATTCATATTCTTCATAATATATCTCAAAATCATGTTTTGAAGTAGTCTTATATATTATTGTATGTGTAATGTATAAAAGTATAAATATATTGTAATCATGACTGTATATTAGAGTTACTAATCGGGAATAGAATAGAAAAGTAATTTTTTTTTTTTTACATTATTCCTGAGATGTACATGTACTTATATTAGAAACGCGAAAGTATGTGTGTGTGTAATTGTCGTTTGATACTTTTTCATAACAAAACGGCAAAATGGATCATATAAAATTTGCCATGAAGATAGACTGTATTACTAGTCTGAACATGGCTATTTTGTATCTCAAAAAATAATCTGTATATAATTAATAGCTGGAATTGTATAACTTTATTATCATATAAATTAATATATATAAATTACCTTTATTTGTTGAATAGAATAGAAAATCATTTATTCAAATAAACTTAATTTAAGCACTTTTGAATATTTTTTTTTAAATCTATGGCTTATTCAGAAAGCAGTCTTATCACAAGAAGAATAAGCAAGAAACTTGTCTGTTGCTCTTTTAAACAATCCTTGTAAGTTCACATTTTAGAAGTCGAAACATGTGAATACAAACTACCAACCTGCACTAATTTATTTAGGCTCAAATATAAAAACACAATAAAATTAAATCAGTCGTAGTGATAAGAGCAGACCAGTCCCTACAAGCAGCACTCGTTCACGAGTATGACGGATGAGCCAGTCATCACTGCGCTCGACCATATTGTAAGGAGCCCAATGACCCGGCCCACCACGCCGCCACATGTCTGGACATTTTAGTGAGCATGACTACTCATTCCACTCGACCTCGTCATAGCTACTTAAATTTGAATTGTATTTCACGTGTTTGTTATGTTATAGTTAAATGTAGGTATGTAAAGATTAAGAACTACGTGTAATTTGTGCATTTATGTTCTATAAAGGCGTGATGAAATTTCGCTGAATGCTAATATTCTTTTTAAATTAAATGCATAAATAATACATTAAATCAAAAAAACATTACACACACTGCCATGTATTTGACAATGGAACCTTAATAAAGTTCTTATCATTTAAACTAGCGGACTCAGCATACATTGTCTTTCCATATATAATAAATTGATATTTTAATAAGAAATAGGGGTTAATGGTAGAACAGTGATGTTGTATGTATTTTTCATTACTACTTAAATCATAATAAAAAAAATGTAGTGGTGGGTCATCGTTATCATTGAAAAGTAGATGTTAGCCTATTCTCAGACCTATCCGATATTCACACAAAATTTCTATAAAATTGGAAGAGTTCGGAAACAAACACCTTGACAATAATTATGGTCGAGTTTCGACCACCCTAGTTATAATTATGAAATCCCTTCTATTCTTCTTGTTATATTCTTTCTCTTCTATTCTTCTATTTTCAACAGGGGCCGATCACTGACGTCGTGTCAGACAGCGACGTGCATGCTGGCGCTGGTGATCCCATTGTCGGTGGGAGTGGACGCGTGGCGCGGCGGCGTTACCAGTGACGGCGAAGTGTGGAGAATCGCTGCGGCGCTGCTGGCGGCCGGTGGCTGGCTCGTCGGTTCGCTAGACTTGCCGCGCTCTTTGTCGCCACTCACGTGGATTAACAGCCGACTGCGGGCCGCGGAAGGATTCACGTATGTATCTACTTCTATATTTTATAAATCATATTTGTGTATTCCAAACTACTGATTTAAAATATCAGTTAAATTAAATTTGTTGAACACAGTCTCTTACTAAACGATTACTTGAATAACAAACGTGCATGGCAATAATTGGTCAAGCACGGGATTTTTAATTACTGTTACACATAGACACCTATATAAGTAGGTAATGTAAATAAACTGGCATTAAAAAAACGAAAATAATTTTAGTTTCTTGTCAGTTCGGAAACATATTAATACAAAAAACTTAACCTTCATAAGCAGTTAAAACTTTCTACAACATATACAAACAATAGTAAAATAAGAGATCAAAGAAGGAAATAAATTATAACAAATAATTAAATTTGTAATTTCACAGGGTAATAAGAAATATTCCAGATCTCGACGAGCAATCAGAGGCTCTTATGTCATCAGATGATCCGACGTAGCACTCTGCAGGAACATTGCACAAGAGGATTTGTTTGAAGACTCAAGTGCAGCTGGTTTTTATATAAAAGTGTACAGTATAATTTATACCACAGGCGCCCGGATACCACATAATTCGTGATCGATCTCATTTAACTAATCTCTAGCTTGTACTAATACCAAGCAAATAGGTTGGACTAATATTCTATGGTATGTCGCGTTCAAAATTATGTATCCAAATTTATGGTATGCAAAGTTCAAAATTATGTATACAACTGCATCAGTAGACTAATGGCGCATCACATGTAACTGATAAAAAAAATATATTTGTAATGACATTTTTTAATTTATAGACAATTAGCAATGGTAGGGCCTTTTTTTACAATGCGTTACATTAATGTCCATTTTAGATAAATTACTTGTGTCGTATTTTATATTTCGTAGTTCACTGAATTTGAAAGTCTGATTGATGCAGAATACCTATATATAACATAATAGAATTTAGTCATTTGTGACTGCAACTTAAAAATTATTTTATATCACCTAGTTTGTTGTGTGACCACGCTTTTTTATTCCTAGTCTCTAATGATTAGCATTTATTTAAAAATCAAAATGTTAACTATTAAGTAATATTAAATAATCATTCCACATTGTAAGTAGTAGTAATAATATAAACTTCGTTCCACATAAGTGCAATATCGGAATAAAAATATTTAATATCAAGTTGTATATTATGTAAACATCTATCAAATATTATGTAGCTCAGTAGGTTCTCAAGAAATGTGTACTTCAACTAATATTTTATTCATAAAAACTAAATTAAATTAAAGCTATCGCTCCTAATATTGTGTATTGTCACTTTCAATTCAAATTAACAATTGTTTCAAGAAGAAAGAGACTAAGTACTTTATGTTTAAAATTATTACTCTACAATAGAATTGTACCTAATAATCAGACTGTAAAAAATACTTGTGATGAAAATTTGACAATTAATGTTATATTTAGACCTATAAATGGATTTATGATGAGATAATTTTATGTATAACAGTAGTCTAAATGCGTGTTTTCAGCGAATATTTCTTATATAAAAAATAAACTGGCTGTTTATTATTACTAAATCCATCTCTGTTTTCTATTCATGTACGAAATCTTGTACTTATGTAAATAAGTTAATACTATAGCTGTGCCTTTTCGTCTCTATATTAGAGATATACATACCTAATAGTTATAAAAATCTGTTCCAATAGACATTAGCAATCTTATAAATCTAAATAAATTATTAGCGTACTAACTAAAAGCCGTCTCTTAACATTACAATATATTCATAATAGAATATCTTTCTCATTATTAAAAAACAAGCCCACATAATAGTAACTATACATAACAGGTTCTTTCACGCGTTAGGAACGCGGGCTATTTGGCGCTTTAACGCCTTAGCACAATCGTGAATGATTTTTTTTTTCATATATTACCTGTGTTCCCTCTTAAGGTTTTATTCTATACTACCCGCTATTTCACCCGCGTTAATTTTCAAAACTAAATATAACCTATATGTTATTTTGTTACATAAGCTATATTACTGTAAAGTTTCATCAAAATCCGTTCAGTACTTTTTGCGTTAAAGAGTAACAAACATCTATACTTACAAACAGTCGCGTTTATAATATTATTAAGATATATAAACTATATAGTTGTGTTATTGCTTGTCATTTTTAGTGGCTAATCTGTGGTAATATTTCTTTTTCTTTTTATTTTCTCGACAAAATAAAAGTATACCTACATAAATACGTAATACGTATTTGTGTGTATATTTAAATTGAAAGTCAATCGCGAAATGTTACTGTATTAATTTCTATTGGAACAGATTGTTATAAGACTGTAAACTTTATATTATTCGAATAAATGTTATGTCAGTCATAATTTTAAATCATATTCAATCTTTTATTAAGTGGTTAAGCTTATGTTAGAATTGACATTATTGTTTATTAAAGGGTTACTCTTGCGTGAAAAGAGACATGACTTGTATTGTAAAGTGTGAAAGTTTGTTTATATACCTGTTACCTCTTAGCCATTCCTCATTATATCTGTACCTAAGGTGGGTAAAAATCTGAACAATCATACACGATCCCATTATTAGAAGCAACAACGCTACAATGGTACAACTGCTTTTATTGTTTCCTAGATCGCCACATGTGTAGGCAAATCGCTTATAGTCTAGAAAGTTAACGCTCTGTACTTAGCGTTTTCAAAAACGTGCCGATTTTATCCAACCAGTACTGCTCCAATATTGCCCCTAAACTTAAGGTCCTTTTTAAACCATTATAACTACTTTGTATCCCGTTTAATATACAGGTAAACTACTCTACTCGTCCGGGCTTCGCACGGGTGTACATGTACTATACATATAAACCTTCCTCTTGATATCTATCTATTAAAAAAACTCGCTTCAAAATCCGTTGCGTAGTTTTAAAGACCTACACATACATAGAGACGGACAGACAGCGACAGCGACTTTATTTTATACTACGTAATAATAATAATAATGATTATTTTATGAACGTACATAATTATATTATAGAATACAAGTGATTTGTACTAATTACCACTTATAATTGATAGCCTAACAGATAAGCAATATGAGACATTTTCCTGGATTTTTTCGAGATCACTCGTACATAAGCATTCTATGATAAAATCCAATACAAGAAGTATCTCTCTAAATTAAATTTATGTTTCGACTCGACATATCGGACAATCTCAATAAATAAATTATACCTTTCAAGTTAAAGTCTCCTTGTGCTAATAGTCTTCAAATTAAAAAAAATCATTTATTCATGTAGGACATTTTAGCCGCTTATGAACGTCAAGTTTTTACATTAGAATTTTTTTCCCTACCGTCTAGTTCGGTATATAGATCCAATTGAGAAGAACTGGCAAGAAACTCAATTGAATTACTTTTTTTTTTTAAATCCAGTTTATTTACAATGCATAGGTATTTATATAAGTGTCTATGTCTAACATTAAAAAAAAATACCGAACATGAAAACTATTGCCATGCACGCTCGTCATTCACGTAATAGTTTAGTGAGTAATAGGCCTTGCTCAGTAAATATGATTTAACAGATGTTTTGAATTTATTTAAGGGTAATTCCAATATATATTGTAAATTAAGACAAACAGTGGATACACATGTATTCCTAATATGTGTAGGTATATAAGTGAGTGTAAATATAATTTAATTTATGAAATTCTTTTCAGGTATATGTTGGCAACTTACTACAACGGATGTAGCAAATTGCAAAATACCATACAATATCGTAAAAACATGAAATTATATGAAATTTGTAGTATGCGGCGTTATTTAACGTCCTTTGCCGATTTTAAAGTGTCGTCGAGTTGAAGGGAGTAATACTAATCTCTGAAATCTATGACTGAGGTTGTAGTTTATGTTCTAAGTATGTAATAATATGGTAGAATGAATAATACTTTATTTAATATGTTTACAATAAGCTTAATTAGGTACTGGAGCATATTGCGAATAAACCTTTTTTTTAACTAATCTAATGCTGTTGGAGCGCCGCCTAAGGTGGTACGGTCACGTCATGCGGCGACTATCAGACTACAATGCAAGAACAGTACTTGACATGAGTACCCAGCCCAGAAGAGGCAGCAGACCAGATGGCAGATATGGATGTCTGTTATTAATAGGGACTTAAAAAACACCCCAGACAACCCAGGACAGACTGTACGGCGAAGATTGACAATACTGGCCGACCCTAAATAAATGAGATTAAGGTCAGGCAAAAAAAAGAAAGTTGTCTGTAGCTGACTATTATCTATAGCTTCGCTTAACGATAGAGGGCGAGTGATCAGCTCTCTAAACCCGGTGAAAGCCTTATGAACCCAACCCAACCCTTATGAAAGCCAACTACTATCTGGTGTCCGTCATCGCGGTACCGAAGACGACGACCTTAACCACACCATACAGCGCAATAAACCGGGAGCTCCACACCGGTGACCCTGGTCGCTTCCTCCGATCGGTCCTCCGTCTAATTCAAAAGGGCATTGTAATTACTACGGCTTGTGCCGAGGATCTGAACCTCTAAATATGCCCCCAAGCAAAAGTTGTATCTGTCAAGCAGAAGTTGGTTTTTAGTTGGTTAGTTTAAACCTCCTTCTGCAGATTTGTAGTGTCAATTGCACACGTTGACATCGGGGGTATCGATCGGAGGGAATTATGATGATTTGGATTTTTTTTCTTTTCAAAGACCAAAAATTATTTTTAGTCCGGTACTATGATAGATATATTCATACTCATACACCTTTATACAAATTTATGATTTGTTTTTCACCGTTGCTAATATTTTTAATATTTCTTTTATCAAGATTCCATTTTTGTAAAACGTATTTTTTAAATTTCTTTGCATGAAAAAAATATATACTGCTCTGGGAAGTTCAATTGAGGTAGTCGCAATCTGGTATTCAGGGGGGAAGGGGATTGTTAGTAATATAGAGTGTTGACCCCATTGCTAGCAATGTACTAAGTCAGGTTGACCTCCACGCGGTTCACCCTGGAAACCATCCTGATAAATTCCTGGTGAATTTCTCACGATGGGCTAACTGACCTTACCTCATGTACATCTTATCACCCTCCACTGGTGCCCCGCCAGCATAAACGGGTAAGGGGGTAAACCGGGTGCAGCATTCCATTATCGTCCATAAAAAAAAATCTGGTATTCACAATTGATTATTTTTGTTATGATTTTTAAAATCACTATTATCCTGACGACTTAGACGTAATGGCAGTTGATCAGGGAGAGAAACACCTCAATGCCTACAATATTCACAATTACCTATCTCTTATTTGTTCTTATTATAATATCAACACTCCATCTTTTTCGCTCCAAAACTCCCGCTGCGTACGTTCAATCATCCGTCATCCACTTGTCAATGTCACATAGATTACTTTGGCTCTGGCCTCTGACGTTCCGTTTCAGGTTACATGATTATTGACTTTACCATTTTTAATTAATGGTGCGTCACACGATAGTTAACAGTCGGCCATCCTGCAATAGTGTCTGGCCCAGACACATAGGTAACTGATGAGCGTAGTCATGCTTATCAAAGGATATAGTGTCTACAGGATCATATAACAAATACTAAATTAAATAAACTAAAGATATACATTACTTTCATAACATTGACTATCTTAGTATACTGTCAAAGGTTTACAATC